TCAGATCAACCTCCCATTGCAGCAGGACATTCCACCACCACCTACAAACAGAAGGAACTTCACACCACCAGCCACTTTGGGAACCCTGTGTCATGGAAACACAACCAAAGCAAATAACTGACTTTGCTGAGCATAAAAAATGATAGTTGACTCTGAGCACAGGTCTGAGGGTTTTTGGTCAAGTGCCAGAAGTAACATGTGACATGATGAAATTATGAAATAGGAGATGATTTTATTTCAGCCTGTGGAAAACAATTACCAAAATCTGGTTGTGTTAAATCCTTACCAGAGGTAAAATAGGTCAATAGCACGGACCTTGCAGAAGCTACATAGTCACATTGTACTGGGAAAATATATAATATGAAGGAAGAAGAGCCTACCTTACTCAGTGGTTTCTTCTTAGCACAGTTGATACCTCCAACAAAGACCATGTTGGGCATCACTGGTCGGACGTACTCGAACACAAAGTCATACCTCAGAATCCAAACAGAGGCAGAGTTTGTGAGGTCTGTGAGGGACACATCCCTCTGAAGAACTTCAGAGGAAAGCTTGAGTGCATCTTCGTAAACACCATTACAGTACCCAAGCTCCAGGAAGTCAACCACTGCATTTTCCACTCTCTGGAAAAAAGTCATTTGGTCTGAGAAGAAAGTGAATATTCGTGGGGCGTAGGACAGAGGGCTCGGGCACTGAGGTGCTTTATAGTGTAGATTGCAAGGAAGTCCTCTCATGAAGAACACAAATGGAAGAGACAAATAATTAGCAACAATTGCTCCACACATGAAAAAGGGATCTGTCAGGACAGCATCAAAGTTGCTTTGATTCAAAGACTGCAGGATCTCCTTGCTCTTGAAGAGGTCCTTGCACTGAACAAAGAATGTGCTGAAGACGTGCCTGTAGGCTTTGTATTGTTCTGCAATATTCAGAGGGAAAGGCAGGACCTTCAGGTGAGCAGCCACATACTCATGAAAGGCATTATCCAGGTCTTCCATTGTCTGGGACACGGGGTGCGTTACCACCTTGTATGCCTGAGAGGCTTTCATGTTCCAGCTGACTTCTGGCATCACCACCACCACTTCGTGTCCTCTCTCAGCGAGCTTTTCCACCACTTGCTGCATGCTGAGCCAGTGGCTTCCAACCATGGGCACCACCAGGAGTTTCCCTCCATCCGTGAGGCCAGGCAGGAGAAAGATCCAGGCCCAGCAAAGTCGCAGTGTCATGTTCCTGTGGTCAGTAGGGACTGAATGAGACTTCTCCTTCAGGCTGGAGCTTGAACATGCTTTTGAGGGAAGCAGATGCATTTATCTGTTGAGTTCTTCTGCATTTCATAATCTTCTAGCTAATGATTCACTGCTGTGGCTTGTGGGTTGGTTTTTAGATTTGTTTTTTTTCCCATTACTTGTTAAACCAATTGTGGTAACTCTATCTGTGCTGAGTGTTCAGTGGAGAAGTAGCTCCTCAGCATACAAGTCAGGCTGCATGGGACCTCTCTTTTGGTCCTTGGTGTGTCCTGTCTTCTCCCTTGGCCAGGGCCAATGACAACTGCAAGCAGCCTCCACAAACTTCCTTGTGGTTGGAGACATGGATGTTCAGATAATTTCCCTGAGGACAGCAGAGCACACCCTCAGGATAAGGGGAGAGGGCAGATGATCCAGCACTTCTGAGTCTGTCACAGTCTCCAGTGACACCCAGAAGAGACACTGAGAGAGGCTGACCTGGCAGCTGAAGCCCAGGTTCTTGCTCCAGGGCAGCAATACAAGATGTCCCTCAGGCTGCTGAAAACTCCTCACCACTTGAGTAGAGGCCAGGGACAAGACATGTTCTAAATGTGTTTTAAGGCCCAGTGCTCCCTGCGTGGCTTGACTTGTCCAGCAGAGATTCAGGGGTGAGTCCAGGTATTGACCTGCCTGAGCCAACAACAAGCAGCTTCAGAGCAACCATGGGTGTCCAAGGGCCACCAGCTGCACAGCATGGCTTCTCCCTTCTGTCAAGAATCAGTTACTGAGTTAAGGGGCAAAATGCAGTTTTCCTTCAGGACCTTGATAACTTTTTCCGAAAAGGTTGTTATAAAGTGATGGAAACCCGCCCCCTATGAATAATAACTATAACATGTTATGTCCACATTTGAATAGCACAGTGTTAGAAATGGTCATTGGGAAGGGAGGGCAGAAGCAAGTGCAGGATGGGTGGCCAAGAGGGCCAATGGTATCTTGGGGTGCATTAAGAACAGTGTGTCCAGCAGGTCTAGGGAGGTTCTCCTGCCCCTCTGCTCTGCCCTCCTAAAACCACATCTAGGAGTGTTGGGTTCAGTTCTGGGCTCCCCAGTTCCAGAGGGACAGGGACACGCTGGGAAGAGTCCAAGGGAGGCTACGAGGATGATGAAGGGGCTGGAACATCTGTCATGTGAGGAAAGGCAGAGAGACCTGGGGCTGTTTAGTCATGAGAAGACTGAGAGGGCACCTGATTAATGTTTATCAATACCTGCAGGGCGGGTGTCAGTGTGAGAAACCAACGAACAGGCCCAAACGGATCCTTCAGCCAAGCACAGGTTATTGACACTCTGGCAAGAAGGGGAGACCTGAACAAGCAGGCACACCCATACCAAGGTGAGGAACAGGGTTTATACTCCCTATTCCCAAAGCTCCCTCCCCTGTTTCCCCACTGGCTGGGTGCTCCAGGGTTTCCAGCCTCTCCCACACTTCTCATGATCCCATAAGTTCCTCACCCTGTTCACACATCCCATTCTAGCAGGTGCTTTGTACCTTTTCAGGTAGAATCCTGACCTTTCCTGCCCCCTGGGCTGCCTTCCCAATCCCCACAGTGATCTGCACCCACTGGTGTCACCCTGCCCCGAGGAGCAGGGCACAAGGGGCTTTGTTGGGTCTGATCTTGGCCATCAATCCTGCTCCGTGTTGGGATCCCCCAGACGGAGCCCAATTCAGTCCCTCAGCTTCTTGGGCTGTCACCACCCCAGGTGTCCTTGGAATGTGCAGAGATCTCACTTCTCTCTTCAACTATTCTATTCATTGCTCTGCTAACACAGCCTTAGATTTACTGTGGCTTCTTACTGTCTGCTTCTAAGACCAGGATTTGAAAACATGACTAAACCCAAGACTCTGCTTCTAACACCAGGATGCAAAAACAATACTACATGTCATTCCTAACAACAGGAAGGGGCCAGTCTCTTTTCAGGACTAGGGGAAACCCCACCAAGTGACAACACAGGAAGTTTCACCTCAACATGAGGAGAAACTTGTTTCCTGTGAGGGTGACAGAGCCCTGGGCCAGGCTGCCCAGAGAGGCTGTGGAGTCTCCTTCTCTGGAGACTTTCCAGACAGGTTTGGATGTGTTCCCATGGGATCTGCCCAGGGTGCTCCTGCTGCAGCAGGGGGGCTGGAATTGATGATCTCCAGGGGGGGCTGGAGCTGATGATCTCCAGGGGGGCTG